ACACACAAAGACTAATTAATTTACACAATGTATGTAGCGTTTCTAATTTATTTTAGTTTTTTGTCCTATTGCTTGCAATTAGTTTCTTATCCTTATTTCATCACTGACTGTTTATTTATCTTCAGTGAGCTTGAGGTTTTTTCGTCTCTTTTTAGGCTTGAATTAGTTTGATATTGACATTGGTGACAAGAATTATGAAAATTCTATGGTATCAAAGATTTTAATCACATAAAAACCTTTTTAAAAGAAAAAAATAACTATATTGTGATATACAGTGTGCAGATCTACTGTCAGGGCTTCCTTCCTGGTATTTGACAGTCACAGTAGACAAGTAACTTCAGTTTATCCGTTTTTATAAGAGTTATTTTGTATTGTTTGATGTAACAGCAGAAAACCTAATTTTTTAGGTGACCGAAACAAATCCACTGAAGGTTTAGAAATGAGCTTATTAGAATAGTAATGATGCCAGTGTGCTGTTTATAATCTGTCTTCAAAGCTGTTGACTCTCCCTCTTTTTTACCACTCACATTTTCTTTTCCACGCTGTTCCGTAACCTGCATGTCAGTTGTGACACTTGAATGATTGGTGTGACGTAAAGTGCCAAAACTACTTATTTCCATTCTAATCAGTAAAAAGTTGCCACTCACACACTAAAAGGCCCCAATATACTTCATGTGAAATCGAAGAATGAACAAATTAGGCCAAAAAAAATATCTGTTTGTTTCTTGAGTTCGCAACAGCTTGTCAAAATGAACTTTTAGGGCACTATTTTAACGATCTAAGCGCATGGTCTAAAGCGCACGGCGCAATTGCGCTTAGGGCGTGTCCGAATCCACTTTTGCTAGTTTAAGGACGGGAAAAATGGTCTGCGCGCCCGACGCATGGTCTAAAAGGGTTGTCCCTATTCTCTTAATGAGTAATGGGTGTGTTTTGGGTGTAACGTGCCATAAACCAATCAGAGTCTCATCTCCCATTCCCTTTAAAAGCCAGTTGCGCTCGCGCCATGGCGGATTAGCTATTTACAAGCGGAATTTGCCAGCGGAAAAACGGAGCGCTTCTCTAGTGAGGGAACAGATCTACTCGTGCACGTATTTCAGATACATGTAGGCAATGTTATATTTATGTACACAATAATAATCTTTTACGTTTTAATCCTTTTATTTTTCATTTTTAAAAATGTTTGTGTGCTGCTGCACATCGCTGTGTGTGTAATAAGCAAAGTGTATGCGCGTTGTGCACCCGCCTATAGGCGCATATTACTAACGCGCTCTTTAAATAACACAAAAAAAAATTTGCGCCAGACTTTAGACCAGGTTTGAGTTGGTCAATGGCGCAGTCTTATTTAAGTTGCCTCAAAATAGCAACGCGCCTGAACACACCTCGTTTTCAGACCAGCACGCCCATGGTCGCACAAATGGGCAAAAATGCATTTGCTATTTAAACAATGTGGCGCAGGACGTGAAAATGACAACTGCGTCGGACTGAAACTAGCAAAAACACTTGTGTCGCGCCAAGTGTATGATAGGTCTCTGTTCTAAGAGTCTCACCTTTTTTGACATGGAAATCTTCTCCGGTTCATTTCTTCTGTTCAGTCTGTCGAGGTCAGACGTGAGTAGAAACATGAACATCCTTTTTTTTTTTGTTGTTGTTGCGAAAAGGTTTAGTGCATCAAAATGTTTACTGATGTAGCTGATGGAAATTTGGATAGATTTAGAATTTATGGCTATAACTTCTAAAGTGTCAACAGAGTCTTTTTCCATTTAACGGAAAGCGCAGAAATTCTGTCGATACCTAAAACGCTGCAAAAATCTTTTACAAACACTGGCTTTAACTCAAGTAAATGTGGTGTCACATGACAGACTACATGCAGTGTTCATGTTCACAGTCTTGCTCCTGTTAAAGAACTGTTTCTCTGATGTTTAAAGGTGCGTTAAATAATTTGAGTTGAATTACTGAAATAAATGAACTTTTCCACGACATTCTAATTTATTGAGATGCACCTGTATATTACAATAAAATATATAATTTGTGATGTTCATATAATTATGTATGAACAGCTCAAGATCAGGTTTTTTTAATGGATGACTGCATCATGCACACATTTTTATCGGTAAAAGGCCAGTTGGATAGAATCAGGCTGGAGACAGCAAATTGTTGACAACAGAACAGTGCAAAAAGTGTATGGAAACTTAGCTAGTGACACAGTTCTTTCATGTTTAATACTGAAAGGCTGCTTGCTTTAAATCAGTCTGTTCTATAAAGCGCTGTATATAAATAAACGTGATGTGATTTTACTGTAGTGCCAAATTGCAGATTTGGTGCAAACATCCACATCGCTCACTGCTGTCATTTTGTTGATTATTTTGGGTAACACTTTATTTTAATCTGTCCTTGTTACACATGTTGCATGCAGGGCTTAAAGTTCTCCGGCGTTTGGCTGCGGGGGAAAAAAAAGATAGTCGTCCTACATTTAAAAACACTTGTTGATATCACGTGTTCATGAGTTCGCCTACCAATGTATGAGAGGAACAC